CGAGAAATAGGAGAGATAACAGCGTTGCTAGGCAAACGACATTTCTTGGCCGACTCTTGGACGACACAGGTCATCAAACCGTCCATGACAAGATCAAGTTGCAGCACAGTCGTTTGATTACCTGTCGTCTACACATCGTGCGTGTGAATATCGTGTGTAGAGTAGTTTCGGAGAGATAAGGTGAGGAGGAGTGGGACGTGGTGGTGATTGATGGTCGAACTGAGCGGAGGCATGGGGATGGACGACGCCGGCAGCGGCCACCATGCCATATTGTTCCAGAGGCTTTCCTTTTTAATTGCTCGACAATGAGGTTGCGCGAGATAAGGATGAACGAGGGAATGCCTTATCTGCAAATGTGAAGAAAGGTGCGGGTATCTTTTTACAAAATTGTCATAGTTTGTTTTCTATCCCTCAGATATAGACCGGGTGGCCTATATTGCAAAATGGCAGGCACACCATCATCACCAACTCGGTTTTTTATAAGATTAGAGATAAACAAAAATATAAATAAATAGAAACGAACAATAAAGTTTTCCAAGTAAGAATGAATTGGTGACATTGATATTACACTTTAAGAAAAAGTAAAATAAATTTTTAAATAAACATTGACAAAATTTGCACATAGTTTAAACATGAATTGATTTTTTTAATAACATGCAAGAATATGCATATACTAGTGGAATGCCACTAAAATTAAGTTTCCTAAGAAGTACTCAATTAGTGGCATTGGTATTAACCCTGGTTCTAAAGGAAAAAAATTAAAATGGAAAAAATTGCACACAATTTACACATAAATATTGCTTTTTATAATATGCAAAAATAAACATGTAATAGTGAAATTTAGGAAAAAGTGAATTTTTTAAGAAAGAATATATTAGTAGCGTTGATATTACACTTAAAAAAGAATGAAAAAACTAAAAAAATTAAGTTTTTGAAGAAAGAATGAATTAGTGACATTGGTACCCTTTCAGAATAAAATAAAAATAAGAAATGGCAAAATTTGCGCATAATATCCTTGCATGTTGGATTGATCTTAAAATCAGCTCAGCTTTTCGATAACTGGATTGATTTTACATCTCCTTGCATGCATACACTGTAGTAGGAAATATGATCGCACTTCACCCGTCGATCTTGAGGAAGAAAACCTCGTCTTATTACGCATACGTGCATACTAGGTGCACGTAGAAAGAGAAAACAGACAGACATTGCGATTCGCGAATGCCCCCAGCTACCGTGTGCAGCCAATTATTCAACAGCCGACCGATGGACGCGCCTAACTCAGGCGTCGGACCATGTGACGGGCACCTCACCGACGTTGGTGTCGAGCCCGAGCGCCTTCCACACGGCCTTGGAGGTGTCGACGATGTTGTCCTTGCAGCCCTTCCTGGAGTCGCACTCGTCCACCACCATGGCCTCCGCGCTCCGCCCCGTGCTCGCGCTGGTGATGCGGATCATCTTGAAGCACCGGGCCCCGCCCTGGTACAACCCCGTCGGCAGCGCCACCAGCATGTCATCATCGCTGTGGTACTTGCCGTCGCACTCCGACGGCCCGCCGCCGTCCTCGCCGCGCTCGAACCCGTTGACCGTCATCACCCCCGGCATGCCGTCGACCTTGGACGTCGAAACGTCCGGCGACGAGCGGGCGACGGCGCGGGTCGACGCCTGCAGTAGGACCACGAGCACGGCCAGGGCTGCGAGCTTAGCGTACGCCATTGCCAAGCCTAGGTAAGCTCCTGCTCGCTTTAGCTAGGCTTGCATGCGCTGGATCGGCTTGCTCGTGGGGTGCTTATGGCGTTGGATTCCGGCGGTTTATATAGACAACAATCGCTGTCTTTCTTGCATTGGTTCTTGCATCGGTCGGTGTGCTCGATATATGGGACTAATTAACGGCTTGTTTTGGGGTCACTTTGTGCTTGTGTAATGACGATGCGTTTGGATTTGATGGTGTCGCTGAGTGTTGGAGCGGTAATTCCAGAGCGAGTGGCAACTGAGCAGGTCGCCCGTGGCGGAGTTGATAGTGATTCTATTGCTACGTGTAAGACAAAATTTACTTCAAAAATGAGCATCAGTAAGTACTTGGATGCAGCTCCGTTAATATAATCAAGTACTCAACTTAAGGAAGTTCGCTTTGAACCAGCAGTGTTGTAATCAATACGTGTCAGAGTTGAATGAGATGTGTATAGAAAACATTTCAAGCTAGCTAACTAACTTTAGTACAAAGTTGGGTCATCTATTTTGGAACGGAGGGAGTACTTTGTTGTGGATTCGCGAAAAAATAGCCCACCAACTTTGTTCAGGTATCTAAAAACTTTGGTTTTAGAATGAGCATATGTAGCAGTATGTGGCTCAACCAGTAGAACTGGCATCGCTGGCTACGCCGGTCTCTTTCTGCTGTTACCACGTCACATGTGAAAGAAAATCTATAAATTTGTAGGAGGTTGAAACTTATTTAAAAGACATCTCTAGCATATTTTTGTTATTTATTAAAACAATTTTGTTAATTCAAAGGTTGCTGAGTTCTTCTTGGTTATTTGCATTTTCAAATTTTCATTTAAGCCGAGTCGAACTTTGCTGAATGAACTTGGACATAAATATATATATCTGGATAGACTTAAATATATGCAAACCAACATATTTAGAGCATTAGGTGCTGTCTCTTGGTTATCTATCAGGAAAATGGATTATATTCCCGCAATTGGCTTTCCTTTGCTACCCGTTTTCATGAATTATTTTGTTATATTTTTTATTTTCTTTTTTGAAATTTCTTTTCAAAATCAATTTATATTTTAGAATGACGCTGTGCTACTTGCCCACAAATATGTTTTCAAAGAATATAGTCATCTGTTCATGGTGTTCGAGCAGGTTCTATCCTCTAACTCAGGGGTAAGTTCTCATTTTGAGCAACCAGTTCTTCAAATCAACTATGAGGTTAAACTACGTCTAATTTGATTCTTCCCCAGTGCCAAGTTGTATCAGCCTTGAGCTGTGTTCCTGCTTTTTTGTCCCCTCAACAAGTTCTTCAATCGGCACAGTACTATTTAGATAAAAAAAAAGAACTACATGATATTTGAATTGATGATTACTATCAAGATATATCTGTGAAGAAAAATAGTGAATGAAAAGGACAACGGGCTTTAATCTTCCCAATGCACCTATTGTAAATAATATTTCAGATATTATATGTTTTCATTACATTCTCTCAGTGTGGTCGTTACCAGTTTCCGGTTGCTAGAAAACTCATGCGGAAAGATCAATGAGAGATAACTATAGTTATGGTTCTTCCCCTTCTAGTTAATAAAGTGTAGCCCGGTATAAGAAATTACATCACCATAAGATCACCACACATACTAAAAAATGAAGAAGAAATGTATTTTTATATATCTTAGTCCATCCTTAACAAAGGAACACGAACTAAAGGTAACTAGAATGAATGTTAACAAATAAAAATTAATTGGATTATTTTAGTTTGTGCAATCTAGATAGTGATATATTATCTGGAGTATAGGAATTTCTGTAGGGATAAATGGCTGGGTAACATAGATTAATTTTTATAGAAATATCTCTGATTTGCATAGAATCAAGTCGGAGCATGAACATGCCACTCATCAAAGACAGAACAATCATATTTGTGTCCTCATCATACCCCACCAGAAATATCCACATGTGATCGCCATGCATTATTTGCGGAAACAACCTTGCCCGGTGGAGAAATTTTCTTCAGCAACACCCATCCAACAACACCATCACAGTTGGATTTCCTCTCTCATAATTTGATTGTACGAATTGACACAACAACAAGACCAAGTCAATTACCCTCTATATGTAAGAGATGATAAGAAAACTTGACATGACACTTAGGTGTGCATGTTGGCTTCTCAATCACATCAAAACTGTCTTTCAAAATCATGCACAAGAACGTCACCTCCAACAAACAACCAGTAAAGTACGTTTCCAACCAGGATGTTGGGTCTTAGGGATGAAATTAATTCCTTGGTCACCATAGAGACCATACACTAGATGTTGATTCATAGACGCAAGCTGAAGCTTCGGTATCTGTGTTGAAGATCAAGACCAGTTTGAACGGGTTCGAGAAGCAATCACCATGCACAGGCCCATCTTCAACATTAGTGCGCAACACAATGGCATCCAACACTTCTTTTTCGCGAATACACAAAGCTTGTGTATCTTTTCATTGATAGATAGAAGGAGAATGAGTACAACCGAGAATACAACACATGACATGAACGCAAGAAGGCATGCACATGGTACCGGGAGCAGAGAGAAGGGGTGCTCAGCCCGAACAGGAAGAAACACACAGCTAAACCCACCGAGCCTAAAACTAGAGTAGCAGACCAAAAGAGCAAACATCGAGCATCTTCAATTCCAATACTAGGGACTCCACGAGCGAGCAAGATAGTGCCTTCAAGAAGGGGAACGACGTCGTGACGCCGTCGCCATCCGTTCCGAAAAGCCGAACCTAGGGTTTCCCCTGATGCTCGAAGAGGGGCTCGGATAAAGGTCGTGACAACGCCTCCAAGAAGGGAAACGACATCCACGGGTGTCGCCGCTACCAGCATCGAGCATGGCTTTCGCCTGGCCTTGAGTCCGAGCAATCCCATATCCACCAGATCAGGCCCCGAAGATGCAAGAGTAAACATGCCTGTCGACACTTCCATTTGTCGCCCTTGAACACCAGTGGAATTGTCAAATGATTGTGTTGTTCACCAGTGAGTGAACACCTTGCGAAGAAGCTAAACAGAGAGGATTTCGATGGTGCTTGCGGAAGCGGCAAAGAACTTGTGGTTGGCGAGGATGTCGCGCCAATGTGGGTAGACAAGGGAGGCGTCAGGAATAGAGGCACCTCAGAATTGAGAGTTGAATTCGGTGGCACTTGCGGAATCGGAACAAGAGTTGAATTTCGATTCGATTTGTGAATACAAGACCTTTGCTTCAACGAATAGTAAAAGGGGCTGCAATCTCTTTGCCTAGCACGGACCCACATGTCATGGACTCATATGTACCTCTCCTCGCACCGAACGAGATTCCTTTCTTTTCCTCTCGTCCCTTTCGATCCTCTCCCTCCCTCCCCAAGGAAGGCCGGCGGCGCCATGGCCGAGACGGCGTGGGAGCTCGCCGAGCTATTCGTCCTCCGCCCCGTCCTCGCCATCTCCTTCGCCCTCTCATTCATCCTCCTGAGTACGTACGGCGGCCGCCCCCCTTTTTTCTTCCTCTCGTCTGGCCGGTTTCCTGATCGAGATCCCTCAGGCTGGTACGTCGCGTGGAGGACGGTGCTGGTGCACGTCCCGCTCGTGCAGGAGGTCGCCGGCCTGCGCCCGAAGAAGAAGCCCGCCAAGCCCAAGCCCCCCAACCGCGGCCGCATCGGCAGGTTCTACCAGTCGCAGGCAGAAGCGCAGAGGTGAACGAAGTAACCAAGATTAGATTTCTCGGATGTCCCCCCAAGGGGCCTAACCAAGATTTTTATTCCGCTTCTGTTCCAGTTCAAGAGTATCTGATCTGCTGGGATTTGGATGCACTTGGTCTATCCAACAAAGTGGCTTTGGTTAATCGACAAATATGATGTTACGATTAGCTGCCGCTGGTTGTTTCAGAGCTGCCTGCATTCTAGGGATTATTAGAGCAGCACTTCTAGTCACTCTTAGAGAGCACAACTATTTAACTTGCAGCCATATTGTTTCAAAACTTGTTACCCTTTCTATAAAACTTGCGGGGAACATGGTTGGACAGCAATGAGATTATTGAAGATATTGAGTTTCATGCACCAACCGACCAGTGGAACTAAAAGTCCGAACCGATGGACAAGGTTGGGCAAATCCATGTATATTTCAACACAGGAGAATGTCCATAAAGCCTTATTTGTAGCTAGCTAGCTGCTGAGACAGCCAGTTTGATATCAAATGTTAGTTCGATTACTCTTGTGGACTGTGGTTAAGAGCTGATGCGACTTGGCGAGGAATTGGGCCATGCTGGTCTTCAGAAAATTCAGACAGGAACAGCGTGGCCTGGTGTGTCACGGAGTGTGGCTATTCAGAGTGTTGCACTCTCTTCAGTTATACACCCCAATCACTTCAAACCATACTGTGCTTACCTGCATAGGTTATAATATCTTATATGACATTCTGACAAGATAGCCGAGCTTTTTGTATAAACAATATAGCCTGGTTTCGCTTTTGCTAAGATACGAAGGGGGAAACCCCTGAACCATCTGAGATTTTCTGCTTTTTTCTATTGCATTATGTGCTAACATGAACATGTCTGTTTAATATTGGTTAACAGGGACACTAAATTGGAAGGGACCTCTTAAGGAATAATCTTTGGGACTTTGAAGGAAGCCCTCATCTCATTCCAATTCAGAATGTTGTACATCCAATAAATTGACAGATTTTCTCTTTTAGGAGCAGATGTCCACACACTTATTTAGCTTGCAAACCCCAGATACACAATAATGTATCCACTGTATATTGCCCCTGTGTAAAGATGCACAATAATGTATCCACTGTATATTGCCCCTGTGTAAAAGTTAAGGATGTTGTAATAAGATTGTACATGCATGTACTAGAATAAAGACAGCACATGTCCTCTGCAATAACCAGTGTACCATTTGCTTCACAAAGTTCTCCTTGTTAAGATGTGATATAGCCATTGGCTCATAACGGATGAGCACTTCCAAAGATGAATATTGTTTTTATCTGATGGTTATAATCATTGGCTCAATGCAGAGGTTGATCAATGATTAATTCAACCATGAGAAATCCAACAATCATCATTGTTACAACACATGTCGAGTAATTCATGTCTAACAATGACAACTCACACCAGCTATTCGTACAACATGAGACTGGAGAGTTTGCATTGCATGCTCCAGCTACAAGGCTCACAGCAACTTCATGCAGTCTTTGCCTTTGACAGGGCCTTCTTCCTCTGGGCAAGCATATACGTGAACATGTGCGGCCCACCTGCAGTCACCCAAGTTCAACAACAAAATGTTCCGTGAGGTCCTACTTCACTTATAGTATCGCTTTATTAATAATGTAAAAAAGGATGACAATCACTACAAATGCGAAGGGTAAAGGCGAGGTAAGAGGGTTTATGTACCTGGAACATAGACACCGATGGCGATAGCACATGTGTAAAAGTAGTCAAAGGAGAAATTCCATTTGTTAGGCATCTTAACAAGGTATTTCTCGGATACCTGGTCACCCAAAAGATAAAAGTAGTTAGACAAGATTGTTATCAAATGAATAACATGGAGTTTGCTAATCCTCTTTGGTTATTCTAGTTACCTTAATGTAAGGAAGAGCAATGTAGATCAGACCGACCTCGCTAAGGATACCGGTAGGATACAATATCAGAAATGTGCTATACCTGCATACAAGCAATGCCACGACAAATAAATGAAGTTCACTTTCAAGATAATGTTTTTGAAAAGGTAGTAAATTTCCTCTAAATTTGATGAGATAATGCCCTGCTTGGAACGGAAATAGTACTAACCTGAGCCATAAAAGCCAGGAAGGTGCAAACCCAAGCGTCTCCTTCAGGCCAAAGAAGGAATATCTGATGATCTACATGAAACCAACAAATTCCGCGTTATGGTACATAATCAAATATAGATAGAGACCATCCAAAATTTCTGATTTTAACCTCAGCAAAGGAAATTTGTAAGAAGTACCTCCGTGATGGACCAGCTTATGACCAAAGAAGTTACAAGAATATGAGATTGTGTCTGCAAGATAGATGTACAAAGTGATGAACCAACATTGTCAAACAAAATTTTACTTTCATCCATCCAATATGAAAAGATACAACTCGCCAGTGCTCAAGGACGATACCTCAGGAAAGCTCCACAAGATGCCCCATGTAAGAAACAACCTTGATCCTATTTGTGGAAGGGTTGCAGTGACAGGAGACCTTACCAACCCTAAAATTCAGATTATGCAACAGTTACTAAAACTGAATAGATACCAAAAGAGTGACGAAGAGCAATCTTGTTTTGAAAATCTGATACTTGACGATTTTTGAAGAAAGGTAAGAATAACTTCATACCTACAAGCCCATGAAGAATCTGCGCCCACCAGCAGCACGAGCGCCAGTGCCAGGCAAACACAAGATTGTCAGTAACTCTCAAACTTGGATGTGCAAAGAAATAAAGTAGATTGCTACTGTATATATATAAGTCCAGAAAGAACTAGGACACCACATTAAATTCAGAACAAAGTTGTAATAAGCACGGAAATAACAATGGAGTTGAATCATCATCATGGTGTTTCGATAAGTCTCTCTTAGCGGTACTCGGCTCGGTTCACAGAGTAATCTGGTCGATTTGGGGCACCACATTTTTTTACTGTTTGGTCAACTCCACATTTTGTCTCTGCCTTAACTCAGTTCAGAGCAGTAATCCATCCTACTTGATCTATATGAGAAACCGCACCTTAAGAGGGTAAAAGTTACTGCATATTTTGACTAACTTCATGCTCTTTTACCAAGTCAAATTTTGAAGCTAGGAGTCAACTCAAAGAGGGGGGAGAGAGAGAGGGGGGAAGAAGAGAAGAGAGAAGCGGACCTCCATGACGGCGGCGGTCTGCGCGAGTTGCAGCGGGCGCTCGACGGCGGCGTAGACGCCCTCATGGCCGCCGCCCAGCAGCGCCGTCACCGCGTAGTAGAGCACCTGCGCCCTGCCAACCAAACCAAAGAGATCCGAACTGGTCAGACCCAAAGCAAGCAACGAGAGATCCATCCATCCATCCATCCATCCATCAAATCCAATGAAAGAAGGCGCACCATCCGACGAAGACGACCCAGTTGTAGACGGCGAGGTAGAGCCGCCGCACCACCGACCCGACGCCGGCCATTTATTTGTTCTCTAGGCCGCAGACGCCGCAGGGCTGGGATGCGGCTGCAGCGAGGCGGATCAAATAATGGCCGCCGATGTGTCCCGCTGCAACACGGAGGCGGAAGGAAGAAATAGCACGCGGATCGGGAGTTGGATTAGGAGGCGGCTGGCCAACAAACTCTGCCGGGATCGACACGCGATCGGTTTGAATCCGGACGGAATCTGGCGAGATCGGATCGTTCGGACACGACGAGCGAGTGAGCGAGTGGCGGCCAGCAGCTCGTGGCAGTTAGTTATTGCCGCTGCAGCTGCTCCCATCTACCCAACCGCCCGCCCGCCCGAATCCAGCTTGCCCAATCCCCACCACACGCGCCATTTCCTCATCGGGCACGCAATTCAAACGCCGATGCAAAATCCGGGCAGACGATTCTGCCGCCCGCGCCGTTCTCAGTAGCTTTCGAGCACATCAAACAGCTCAACCGGAAAATAATAAACACGCCGAAAGCGCGACGGATCAAGAAGCCTCACGCAAAAATTGCTTCCGTGTTTTCAGCCGCACGCTGTAATGGTGGATGGATCTTACAGCATCTGTCGATCGCAACAAAACTGTGAGTTACAAGGGGGGTACAACGGGGAGGATCTGTGCCTTGGGCTAGCTACAGTGCGGCGGCGATGATCCCCAGCTCGGCGCAGAGCGGCTCGACCTCCTCCTCCCCCAGCAACGAGAGGGCCGCGAGCCCGTAGTAAGAATGGTAGATGTCTGGCAACTCGTCGTCCGGGAATTTCGAGAAGCCTCCGTACTGTCGTCCAAGCAAAAAATCGAGGAAAAAAAACGAGTCAGTAAAGGACCATACATATAGACCTGTTTGAAAACTTGATTTAAGGTTTTATATTTGGTTGAAATCTTGGAAAAAAAAGTTGCCAATGGAGGCTCTAGTTTGGGATAATTACGCATGTCTGGCAGGTGAGCAGAAACCCCCGCAGCGCGCCGTGCTCGATCAAGTGGTAGGCGCCAATCATCTTCAAGACGCCTCCAATCCTGAATGAATGAAGACGAGTCAAATGGGCAGCAAACAAATTTTTATCGAGGTGTTGCTGCTACCGCCTGCTTCTCAGCCAAATAGCAGTATACACAGGAATGTTAATGTGCTAACCAGAAAGCGTAGCACGTATCACTTGGCTTGTTTCTTCTGCCCTGAAATCCCCCATCTGCCGCTTGCCTCTACACAATGGTACTGCATTGCGTCAGTAATGTTCACCGGTAAGCTAATAAAGAGATTTTTGCTGATAATTCAGATTTACTTCTCATGTAGACTATTGTGCATTTTTACGTCATGTAAAACGGCAGATTTTAATGGATAACTGCAGAGACACATTTAAGCAGAATTTGACCTGAAGGCACCACTCCAGGAGCAATTGTACGTCAATCGCCGCAGACTCTCGTAAGTTCGATGCCAAATCAACTTGAATGAAACCCATTAGATATAGGGCCGCAACAGCACAGAAAGTTCCCCCACCTGGCTCACTAACACAAAGTCATACAATGAGAATCCATAACCAAATTTTGCAAAACAAAGACTTAACTTAGTTGCCACACAATTGAAACTCTAAAGAATAACCTCCATAAAGTAACCAGGTAAAGAAATGCACTGCCTACCATGAGATTCTGAACCGGGAACCATGCCAAAGCCACCGTCATATGACTGCACGCAGTAGAAACAGAATCAGGAAAGGCAAATAGCATGGTGCAGAACACTCTTACATCACTGAAAAATGAAAACTACGGTGCATTAGGAATTTTCGCAAGCCAACCTGACAGTTAAGAATGTATTCCTTGGCCTTTTCCTTGTCCATTCCTGACCAATCTTTTAGCATTGAGCAGATCGCAGCTGAGAACAGAGCTCAAATGCATAACATTACATCCAACAAAAAAAATCTATTATTAGCATATACAAAGAACAGTGCTCCTCACCTGCGCAGTATACAAAGCGTAGGTCTGTTTCTGCACCAATATGAGTAGGCATGAAGCTATAAAAAGATGCATGTTAAGTTAGCTAATGTCAGATGCACAAAATCAAAGCCTTCTGAGTTGACCAATAAAACAGGAAAGAAAGCAAAATGAGCAGAGAAGCACTAGACTACTTGCAAACATTTCGGAGTATCATCAGTACAACACCTGAACATTCTAGTACAAATACACACCAGAAAAGTGGTGTTCACCGGTGTAAAGTTTGTTGCAATGAGAGTACATAGTTTAAGTTCATGCAGATGAAATTACACATGGTAAATGAAAAGGCTTACAACTAATGCATATGTTCCTGAAACAAAACTATAATGAAGGATGTGGATTGTGAATCAACCATGGGGTGCTATGAAAATCGTAAAACAGCATGTGAGGTATGTGACAAGGTGAAACTATTCCGGTGATTATTTCCTAGAAAACATTCTAGTGATAATGTTAATGCAGGTCGTAGATGGAAATACCTAGATACTTCCCAGGTAAATTTTGAAGTCTAACAGTCTAAGTACCATGGAGACCAAAGCTAAACACATACCTTCCGTCTGGTTGCTGCAGTTTTTTCATCGACAGTAGAAGAACATTGCTATCAAGGTTTAGTACATCATAACCTACAATCTTCAATGTAGCAAGAGCAGAATAAGTGCTTGCTAGATGACTACCATTGTGGCAAGGGTCCTGAAACAGAGCACAGGTCAGTATATGGAACTGTCACAACAAATAAATAAAATGGCAAAAAATGTGGACTTATATGACGAGAAAAGGTTGAGTCAAGCATTAATCACCCATACCTTCACCAAATTTGAGGGAAACTTGGTTGTTCTAGAGCCACAGAATCCATAAAATTGCCCTGCAAATGAGTGAATTGTTATGTAATAAACATATTGCATCTAGAAATACGAATTATATACATCAGAAGAGTCTGCTTACCATTATCTAAGTCGTCGTTTTCCTCAGGGTGTACTTGAAACGACAAAATCCATTTGGCAATTTGATCCTTGTTAACCTAAAAAAAGATAGGTACACAAATTATTACTACATTACTTCTTCCTGAACAGTCAAGGTGCATAGGTAAACTGAAATTTCCCCAATAAACAATTAAACTAGCAACCTAACATGGTTGATCATTCTAAAAGAACTTCAAGTCACAAAAGTGATTGCTGGCAGATAGCTTTTACTTATTTTATGCAAATGCTATTCATTTAAAGGCTCGGAAGATGTAGAACTTCTTTGATGTTTCTATATCTGGTTTATGCAATTCACCAGAGGGAAAGTATGCTGATTGATAAACCTGAAAGGTTATTATCATGTGTTCACGCAAGCAATCGACATTGAGAAGGATACCCTTAATTGCTAACCAACTAGACAGCTCCCAACTGCACGAAGAATTCAGCCAAAATCTTATAGGGCTTAGACCAAATAACCAAAACTGAGGGCACCAGTACCACTTTGTTGCTACAAACCAGCATCAACATCATCTGGGTCCCTTTGCTCTTATCACCAGACACCAAACCTTGTTGAGCTTAGTTATGACATCTAGTTGTCAGGCAGGTCTGCATCCAATAACCTCGCTAACCTCTAACTACTTGGGAGTTAAAGTCTTAGTGGACTGGGTAGTGGACTCAAATGCTTAAGCCTTGCAGCTAGCAGTTGCTGTTACAAGCATTTGATAACGTTGATCTGCGAACTGCATTACGTGTCCCCATATTTGTGATTAGTTGCATTTATTGCTTATGAATACTACTCGCACCTGCCCCTAGAAAAACATCGAATCATTTTTTTTTCATACTTCTAATTGTGCACAAGCATCCGTTGCTCTGAACCAGACCAGACCTACTGTCTGATGGCGAATTGCCTTGATAAGTCATACTGTTCGATGGTGGATTCGTATGTTGATTGAATACGTGGAGTAACTTATTTTTTATCCTGAGTAATACTTGAACCTGTACATATTTTGCAATTCGATTCGAAAATAAAAACAGGGCAGCTTAAGTTCAGTCGCCGCAACCAAATTTTTCAAAAATTTGCCACCCTTTTCTTCTACACCGTAGCGCAGAAATCTACCGATGTGTGTGCGCATGCTTCAAAAATATTTGAATAAACTGAGCACAAGCATACAATGGCCTAGTATAATCAGTACCTCACGCGAGATCCAAAGCTATGAACAGAGGACAGCCGCATCTAGACCATGACAGAATACAGATCACTCGGAAACTCCCTAGAATTCCGCGCAATTCGTTCAACCGTGGGCAGAGTACATGCCTAGAGGGCGGGCAGCGGGATAGATCTCGGCTGAGCTTACCCGGTCGAGCTCCCGGAGGAGGGAGAGGCCGGCGACGGCGAAGTAGGCGAGGGTGAGGTGGTTGACCTCCTGCGTGGCGTAGCCGTCGGGGAGCTCGCACGACATCAGCTCCAGGAACGCCGCGTGGCGCGCGCGCGCGAACCCGGCCGGCCCCTCCTCCTGGTCCCCCATCTCCGGCGGTCGTCGGCCGTGGAAAGTGAAGGCCCTCTCCTCGTCGCCGCCGATTGGTCTGGCCGGTGCGGGAGCACGAATCCTGGCGCGCTTGGGACTTTGGGAGGGGGCTGAGATGAGATGGCGGTCCCACTTGTGTCCGGTTTCCGACCGTGCCGTACTACACTTCTGTTTTTGTTTTTCGGGCGGGTATCGTATTCCCTGCTATCTCTTCTCCGTGACGAACACGATGCAGTAGAAGGTTTGCAACAAAGGTTATTTTTTTGACGCCGATATCCATCACAGGTGTGGCATAATAGGCATTCGTTCACATATCGTGTGTGGCATGAGCAGGGGACAGTTTACACGGGCTGTGTGTGGGTGAACAGTAGAATTGCCCACACGCATGGGCGTAGCACACGCCCAACAAGTACTACGCATCCTCACCCTGCGCGTGTGGCACGAAGCAAATATGCCCACACGTCCTGGCGCAGCTACATTAGATACCCGCGGGATGACGATTTAGTTGCCATCCAGGATGGCAGATGTAGTTATCTGGGATGGCAAATATGGTTGTAAAAGCATAGCAACTCTCTGCTTTGGTTAACTATAGTTGACATGTCTAATTTATGGTAGTTGTTGCGTGTAATCAAACCATAGTTGTTGTGTGTGATTAACTACTTGTCACATATACCCCGTAAAAAAAACTACTTGTCACATATGGTCAAACAATAGTTGTCATGTGTGTTTATTTAGTTGCTACGTGTGGTTAATCACAATTGCCATGTATGTTTATCTGATTGCCACATACGCGCAACTGCAGTTGCCGTCTAGCAAACGAATCATAGTTGCCATGTGTGTTTGCCTAGTTGCCATGTACGTGCAACTACAGTTGCCATTCAACAACGTACGACTGCCGCGTGGGTGAAAAGCAGTTCGTCCACACGCGTGTGGACTAGGTGGTGGTTGTGTGGGTAGAAATTAGTTCGCCCACACAGCGCAGCTGGCAACTATGTGTTGTGGGGCGTGTGGACGACCTATCCAACACCCACACACCGGCCTTGTCCTACGTAGCACGCGGAAACTGTCTCGATGTGTCAAGATCCGTGTAAACTTAACTGGACGGTAATCCAGACGTGTAGACGAGTTGCAATGTTGTCACACATGTGGGCATTAGTGTTTTTGAAAAAAAATTGCCTATGAAACAATTGTATTACTCAACTCACCGGTCCTTACAATCATCATCGACTATATGTAGAGAACCAACAAAGCATTAACAAAATGGAAAAAGGACAAACTGTTTCCGGGTCTGTTTAGGACATATCTAGATAGGACATAGTTATATCACATCTAACCTGATGTTTTGTGGTTTGTTTTATTATTATTTTTTGTCCTAGTCACTTTTTTTTCCTTATTGCTACGTTACTTGTGGGAGTTAGATGTGACATCCTTAGAAAACATTTAAATGTGAATTAAACAAACTGTTTTTTAAAAGAATTTGAACATTGTACTAAAAGTAAAAGTAATTTACCATAGTATTATAGAAAATGCTCTCTTTCACTCGACCGATCTTTTGGCTCGCTCGACTACCCCTTCCGGCTTTCTCGTGTCCCTATGGGCATATCTATCGTTTTCCCTTTCTCCTCTTGAGAGTAGCATTGCTTGCTTAGAGCATCTATCACCAGAAGTACCAAATTCCGGTTCCTAAATGCCTGCACGTCAGGACAGTGCCGGGTCGTTTTGAACCCCTATATGTCTCTGCACCCAATCACACTTCTCAAAATTCGACTCAAAATGACCGGACATCTTTTAGACATTTTATCAAACAGTTGACATGTGCACCACGGACGCACGGACACGCGGCTGCGTCCAGCCAGCCAGCACGCGGCGGCACGGCCTGGCTAGCCAGCCCGCTGGTACACGGCTACGTCCAGCCAACCAGCCAGCGCGTGGTTGCGTCCGACAAGCCCGCCAGCACGCGGCGACGTAGAGCGCGCAGTCGAGCTCCCAGAGCGGGGTCTCCAGGGCTCATCGAAGCGAAAATAGGTAAGCTCCGACTCGAATGGAGGGCGGAGAGCTCCGGCTCGGGCTGATGAAGCCATGTATTTAGTGTAGGGTCATGGATCTGTTTAAGATACTTTCCCCAAAAACATCCCTAAAAGAACCAAAAGCAGTTGAAGAAAAATCAGCATCCACTCGACCATGAAGCCATGTTCCACTCGACAGTCTTGAAAACACTCGACCGTACGGACAACCACTCGACTATCAGAAGATCTAGAGCCACTCCACTCTGCAACGGTCGGAATTCCAGTCATAGTCTTAATGGTCATTATGTATTTTTATTACAGGCGTTACCTGTAACCTCTCCATCTTTATGTATCTTAAACCCTTTATAACTGAGGACGGGAGGGGTTTGGCGAACTCTATATAAGCCACCCCCTCCTCAGGGATAAGGGTTCGTATTTTCTATAACACACATGCATATAATCCAGTCGACCACCTCTGGGCTCCGAGACGTAGGGCTGTTACTTCCTCTGAGAAGGGCCTGAACTCGTAAAACTCCCGAGTACAACTCCTTCATAGCTAAGATCTTGCCTCTACATTCCTACCCCCCATTCTATTGTCAGACTTAGAACCACGACAGTTGGCGCCCACCGTGGGGCAGGTGTCTTAGTGACTTTTTGAAGAAGTTGCAATTTTTCCGATCCCCTTCATCATGGTTTCGGGCAGAGGTTTGACTGAGGGCCGCGAGATCCGTCTCGGCGCGCTCATGTTTGTCGCCGATGACTCCCTTGGCTTCAGGAGGCTCCACTCGACGTCGACGCACTCCCCGTCCGCGGGGCAACGCACTTTCGCGCGTGCGTCCACGGCGTCCTCCTGCGGCAGTCGTCGACCCAGTATCGGTTGGCTCCTGTAGCTTCCCCCCTCCCTGCGGCCCGCTGGAGCAAACGTTTCGGTCGATCGAGGCTTCAGCGGTGGGTGAAGCATGCGGTGGCTCGCCAGTCGGCCACCCCCCAAGTTGCGGCAATCGAGCCCGACGAAACCCTCTACGGCCTGTTCGATCTGTCGATTGGCTCCGTAGAGACTGCATCCGAGTGCGACAGTAGCGACCCTCCGGTGAGCAGAAGCTGGTCGGGGTTTGGTGCAGATCCGGTCCTTGCTCCGAGCCGCGGGTGAGCAGAACACAGTAGTATCTCAGTCGCGGAATAGGATTCACAGCAGATCCGTGGTTGTAGACACAGTCCAGCCGGCTCACAACCCAAGATCGCCCCCGAGGCGTGAGGGACGTGGAGATCGACGAGATCAGTACAGAAGCCGCGAGCAGTATGATCACCAACCCGATCACGACGATCGTCGTTGAGTGCCCACGCCACCCCCAAGGAGTTGATCGTACGTGCCTTGGCAACAGGATGACAGACGCCCTCACAGTGGTGGGCGAAGGATTCCAGTCGACCCCAGGGAACCGGGCTTTGACGCGAGATCTATTCTCGTTCAAGGTCTGATCGACAGAAACACAGCTCACAGAGAAGGTCCCGACGGAGATTTTCCAACCAGCAGCAGAGCGCGTGTCTCAGGTCCAGAGTGCTTCAGCAGAGCCATCAGGGCTGCGGTGATTCCTCCCAACTTCAGGTTGGCGACTGGAGTCAGTAAGTTCACTGGTGAGTCCAAGCCTGATACTTGGCTTGAAGATTACCGAGTGGCTGTTCAGATCGGTGGTGGCAATGATGAGGTGGCCATGAAACACCTTCCTTTTGTTGGAAATATGCCCTAGAGGCAATAATAAAATGGTTATTATTATATTTCTTTGTTCATGATAATTGTCTGTTGTTCATGCTATAATTGTGTTATCCGGAAATCGTAATACATGTGTGAATACATAGACCACAACACGTCCCTAGTGAGCCTCTAGTTGACTAGCTCGTTGATCAAAAGATAGTCATGGTTTTCTGACTATGGATATTGGATGTCAATGATAACGGGGTCACATCATTAGGAGAATGATGTGATGAACAAGACCCAATCCTAAGCTTAGCTCAAGATCGTGTAGTTCGTTTGCTGTAGCTTTTCTGAATGTCAAGTATCATTTCCTTAGACCATGAGATTGTGCAACTCCCGGATACCGTAGGAGTGCCTTGGGTGTGCCAAACGTCACAATGTAACTGGGTGACTATAAAAGTACATTACAGGTATCTCCGAAACTGTCTGTTGGGTTGGCACGAATCGAGACTGGGATTTGTCACTCCGTATGATGGAGAGGTATCTCTGGGCCCACTCGGTAATGCATCATCATAATGAGCTCAAAGTGATCAAGTGATTGATCACGGGATCATGCATTACGGTACGAGTAAAGTGACTTGCCGGTAACGAGACTGAACAAGGTATTGGGATACCGTCGATCGAGTCTCGGGCAAGTAATGTACCGATTGACAAAGGGAATTGTATACGGATTGATTGAATCCTCGACATCGTGGTTCATCCGATGAGATCATCATGGAGCTTGTGGGAGCCAACATGGGTATCCAGATCCCGCTGTTGGTTATTGACCGGAGAGGCTTCTCGGTCATGTCTGCATGTCTCCCGAACCCGTAGGGTCTACACACTTAAGGTTCGATGACGCTAGGGTTGTAGAGATATTAGCACACGGTAACCCGAAAGTTGTTCGGAGTCCCGGATGAGATCCCGGATGTCACGAGGAGTTCCGGAATGGTCCGGAGGAAAAGATTTATATATAGGACGTCCAGTTTCGGCCACCGGGAAGGTTTCGGGGTCACCGGTATTGTACCGGGACCACCGGAAGGGTCCCGGGGGTCCACCGGGTGGGGCCACCTATCTTGGAGGGCCCCATGGGCTGAAGTGGGAGGGGAACCAGCCCCTAGTGGGCTGGTGCGCCCCCCTTGGGCCTCCCTCTGCGCCTAGGGTTAGAAACCCTAGGGGTGGGGACGCCACCCTTGCCT